GCTGCCCCCGGCTCCTGGGAGGCCCCACCGCCGCCGCCGAGGCCTCCCCCGAGGCGAGAGGCGCTGGCGAGGCCCGGGCCTGTCAGCGGGCGGGTTGCGGGGCCGGGCCCGCCGCGGCGGGTGGTGCCCGAGGCACCCGTCGTGCCTCCGACGTGTGGTCCCCTTCGCTTTTAGCGGCGGCTCGGAGGCACCTCCCGCTTGTCCCCGGTCCGCAGAGCTTCCCGGAGGTGCCGGTGTGTGCCTTCCGGGCCAGCGGTCCGGTCTGTCCGCCCCGGGAGCGGCGTCCTGCGAATAAAGCTGCCGGCCGCGGGGGAGACTGGAGCTGAACCCCGAGCCCACGTTTAAAGACAAATAAATCTCTCAGAGCGCGGCCCGAGTTACTGAGGTTTTGGTTTGCTAACGAAAAGAGCAAGGAGCTTTTGAATTCAAGTTTGAGGCAGGGGGTAATTCCTGCTTCAGTTTGTGTACTTTGAGTGCCTGACCCACTTTGCGTGTAATCTGCTTCACGGTAGTTCCCCCTGGCTTACGGCATTACATATCAAACACCGGAGGAGTGTTTCGTGAAAGATCTTTGGGTTTTAGTTGCTAGAGGTGAAACTGCTTTTCATCGGGTTGCTCTGACTGGCTCGGTTCCAGGTCCTGTCCCTGTTTGCGGGGCTGGGGGCCCTCAAATCCTGAACAGCAGGGTGGAGGGGGCTCAGTGCGCTGGGGATGTGCCACCGGGAAATGGTTGATCGCTCAGCTATCCTCACAGAATAAACCTTTTGGAATAAACCTTCTCAAATAAAAAGGAACTACAGCATATGCATTTTCATTATGGTATGTGCCCTGTGTTTTTTTTTCAGTAGTGCCTGCGATATTCGCTAAAAAAAAAACCAGAACAGGCAGAGTCATTGCTAGTTTGCTCTTCCTGACAGATTTTTGTGCTTATACAGATGGTTTATGTTAAACGTTAAGAGGACCCTTCTTATGCTTTCAAAAAGGAAATAAAAAAAACCTGTTCGGCTTTACCCATCCACTGTTAAAGTAGAGTTTTGAGGTTTTGCTTTTCCATTTTAAGATTACTTAAGGTTATATCTAAAAGCATGTTGTTACAGAGCTTGTCTTGCCGTTACTGGCTTGATTTGACAGGTGCTCAGAAGCACACACTGGCCGTGGTTTGTGTGAGCCACCTTCCACGTTGAGGTGTAAGTGCAGGAGACCACTCCTGTCTGTGGGCAAGAGGCTGAACAAATACTGTACAGCAGTTTGATTCTAGAGGAGATGACAGTGGGGAATGAGGAGAAGTAGTCCTTGATTATGTTTCTCTTGTCCGGATGACAGAATTATGTTTCTGTGGTACTCTCATCCAGAAAAGCATTGCTAAGAGGATATAGCTCCTGTTGATCTTCACCAATGAAATGATGTCTTTTGCACAAACTGATGTTATCTGTGATTCTGGTGCTGGGGAAAATGTTTTCTTCATTTTAGTGACTTGCAGTGAACCTCCTAAGAATTACTGCAGATCCAAAAGCTACTCCCAAACTGGTTCAGCTGCATTTTGTTACTCTTCTTCCCTGCCAGCCTTCCCATATGAAAATAAACTCTTTGGCAGCCCACCACCTATAGAGACAGGTGCTGTAGTGAGTAGACATGTAAAGGGTTGGGTGCAGGGGATGACGAGGGTGGTTCCATTGATGATACGGTTTCTGGGGAGCAGTTGGGAAGCAGAGGCTGACCCTCTGAGGAAAGAGTTAACAAGTGATTCTCAGAACTAGTGTTTCATCCTCGGCAGCGAGAATAAGACTGGCATTAGCCAGAGATTATTAGGAGATATTAGGAGATATTTTAATAAATATTAGTCATTATACAAATCACTGTGTAGACAAGTACTATTTTCTTGGCTTCCCCCCCTTATATGAACTGAACTTTTGGTTCTCACCTTTTAGTGCAATCAGTAAAACAGTATCTTTTCTTCCATCTCTAAATATCTGTTATAACTAGGTAGAAAACTTTAGCAGCTGATTTAGTATTCTCCCATTAAAATGCTAAGTTAGTTTTAATTTTTTTTTTTATTATGCCTATTTGTCTTTTGAAAGTTGTACCAGGTAAAGGTCTGATCTCTAGACAAAAAGAAAACCAGGCTAAAACCCCTCAGATGGCTTCCACTAAGTTTTCTCTTGATGGAAGGATGCACCCTGGCCATCCGGTACGCGGGCATTCCCTTCCCCTGTGAGATATGTATGGTTGTCTCATTTCAGAATTGTATCGCAGAGATAAATGGCAACCAATGAACTTTTCTTTCTAATTATTAATGCTTTGAGAGAAAAATTTTGCTGGCCAGCTGTTCCAATCAAAATGCTTTCCAAAGAGTGCTTTAATTTTTTCTTTGGCGTTACAGGTGCCAGTGAAAGCGTGGGAAAGCACATGCTTGAAGCGTGCAACAATAACCTGGAGATGGCTGTCACCATGTTTCTGGACGGGGGAGGCATCGCAGAGGAGCCCAGCACCAGTTCCGCAGGGGTGTCTGCTGTTCGGCCGCACACCGAGTACGTACCCGACGGACGTGTCTGTGTGAAGGACTAGTCTGTCTCAGGAATTTAATAGCGTAAGGCAGAACAAGTAAGAGAGTTGTCACTTCTAACCTGCTGTCAGCTCACTGTAACACGTGCTTCTGTGATGATCTTGTTAAATTGATTTCTCCAATACTGTGCTGGGTAAATAAGTTCCTATTACATAAGTGAGTGTGTAGACAACATAAGTTAGTCTCTCTTGCACGCACTTCAGAAGTTTTTTGTAGCTTATACATACCCTTTTTTGCAGACAGAGCTCGAGAACTTAAAGTGGGGATGCAGTAGCAAGAGATACTTTTGAATTGCTCCAGCAATCTTGCTTTACATTAATTTGGCACTTAGTGAGTTCTGTTGTTTTGGTTTTTGGAAACGTAGTGACCTTAGTCCCATTTGGGGACTAAGGGTTTTATTATGTTGTTTCAAGTGTAACCGGGTTTGGCACTGGAAAGGCCAGACCGTGTCCACTAGTATGCAGAGGAATAAGCAACTACAAAAACTGCAGCACTGTTTTAAGACATCAAAAGCCACTAAAAGGAAGAGTTGTTCCACTTGAGCCTGGCAGAGAGTCTTTCAGTGCTGCCTGTTAATGTGTCTGCTTGGGATAAATGGAATATTTTGAGTGGAAGGTAATTGGTGTAAGTCACATTCATTAAATATCCTAAATTAAACCTAGCCATGCTTTCATCTGTATGAAAGCCTTCAGGAAAAAGACAACAATTCTTGCCACTCATACTTCTGAAGCATGTGTATAAATTTAAACGACTGTTTTAGTACTAACCTTTATAGTTGATATCAAGAGCCTTCCTGCTTGAACTTTGACAGGTAATGAAGTTAAAACTCTATCTAGAGGTGTTAGAGTTCTGATTTCTAGACAACTTCTGGCACACCGGTGACTCAAGATTCAAGTTTTTATTGGAATACTTTCTCTTTTATACTTGACACCCTCCAGGTGCTGGTCAGCTTAGTGTTACTTCTAGGAAGAGAGAACAATAAATATGCAAATGCAAAATGGAGAATAACTAGCTTCACAACAGCAATCAAAGATGTGGAGGTTAATAGCAAGGTTAGTGCATCTTGCTGACATTATGAGTTACTTTTTGAAACCTGCATGGCCACGAGCCACAAACTGCACCCTTTACAACTTTTGAAGAATCCGAGGGAACTCAGGAGTAGCTCATAGGCAGGACATAGCAGTGGATTTCCTTGGGTCAGCGCATGCCCACCTTCGCATAGATCCATGGGCCAGGTGAGCACACTGAGTAAGTGATACTGTTTCTTAGCCCTCCTGATTCCCTTTTTTTTGTCCTAGTCATAATTTGAGATTATTTAGCAGTCTCTGCAAGTGTGACTAACCTGTTGATGTGTGGAGGGAGCCCAGCTATATAAGCAAAGAATTGCTTCAGAAATTGGGAGAAATGGCCATTTTGACCATCTTGTTTTCCTTCCTCTGGAAAAGAGAGGGCTGTGTGTTTCAAGTGGAAGCAAAAAGTCTTCCAACAGAAGAAAACTTATTTTAAGGAAGATGATAATTTTTTCCCTCTCTGTAGATAATGCCCCTCATTAGGGGAAGATGGCAAGTGGATTAATTTGCAGCCTCTGCTAAGTTTTAAGAAACTTTTCCAAGTTTTAAGGCAATTAATTCTTGAATTTATTGCCTGGTGAGACCTTGGTCCAGGTTGGCCAGAGAAGCTGTGGCTGCCCCATCCCTGGAGGGGTTCAAGGCCAGGCTGCATGGAACTTTGAGCAACCTGGTCTGGTGGGAGGTGTCCCTGCCCAGGGCAGGGGGTTGGAACGGGATTGTCTTTAATTCCACCCCAAACGAATTCTATGATTCTATTAAAGAAGAAAAAAATGTTTGAATAATAGATTGACAAAGCCTGGAATCAAGTCACCCGGGGATCTGTGTAATCTTAGAACGGTCATCCATGCCAGATCTTAATGCAGAGTGTACCAAGTGCCATGAGAGGGAATGGATGGTCTCTTGAGGTCCCTGGTGACTCCAAATCTCTTGATAGTGCAATGGTACAGCACCTTCCTTAGCTGGTTCAAGTTGCAGGAGCCTTTGGATCACAGTGGGATGTGGTTTATATAGTACTTAGAATATTATTGTCTCTCTGATTTTTTAAATTTTTTTTTTCTTCCTCTTTGACAGGGATGAAGTACGAGCTCCAATTCCTCAAAAACAAGAAATTTTAGTAGAGCCTGAGCCCTTGTTTGGAGGTAGGCTTGTATTCTTATTTTGTTGTGTTTTTTTTTTTTTCTTTACTTTGAGATGAGCTAGCAGACAAAAAAAAACCAACCCAGAACTTGATGAACGTGAAGAAAGCATTGTATGTATTTTTATTGGGTTTTTTCCTTGCTGCAACTCTATTGCCATGTAACATGATTGCATACTTAGAAATACACCAGTGTTATTGAGAACCTCGCACATTAGAAGTGGTACATTCCCAGTGGTACCAATTTACTAACTCCAGTTTCATGAGACTTTTTGAGGCAACAGCCAATTAGCTCTGCTAAGTGCACATCTGCCTTCCTGGTTCAGAAAAGTGCGATACTGCTGTGAAAATGTTCAAGGTGGTGGGATAAAAGCTTGAGCTTTGACTGATGAGTGAAAATGAAGAGGACAAATGCATGCTTCTCAGGGAGATGATAGATCAGAAAGAGGGACTGAACTATACAATTACTCATCGTTTTCTCCTTTTCTCATTTAGGAATTTAATTTGCTCTTCAAACTGCACCATGCAGCTGGTTTTCTTGTTTGATTTCTGAAGCTGTTTATCGCTTTTGCTTTTGAAACATGGTTTTGCTCTAAGGAAGCAGGTGATGGAAAAGCTGTTTTCTTTTGGGCACTTGTCTAAAACACTATTTAGTCCTCACGTAATACACTAATGTTATAAATCTCAAAACCCCATCTCAAACCATCTTTCCTTAGTGGTTCTTTTACAGCAGCACAGGGGTGGAACATCTGTAGCAGGACTGGGTTAGCTGGTGCATTATCCTCTCCTTTTATATAGTGTCCATGTCTTTCTAGAGATCTAAGGCACTCTCTTTCTACGCTTGCTTTCTCTAGCCTCGTGAGGCTCTGTCCTTCTCATGTTGACCAGGCCATTTCTGGCTCTCTGTATGGCTTTTGCCGTGTCAAATGAATCGAGCATCTTGCCTTTTTTATCGAGGAAAGCATTCAAATGCTTATCTTTAAATTGGTCTCATACCCATAGGAAATGTTCTTTCTATTGTTTAGTTCCTGTGCTAGGAGAAAGAGGCCAAGCTTCAAGTTACCCTGGAACTGGTTTTCTGTTGATCCTTTTTTTCAACATCAGAGAGATCTTTAGCCAGAATGCACAAGCTGAGAGGTGGTTCCAGAGGAAGGTGCCCTGCTGAGGGCTCGCTGAAGACACTGCACCAGCTTATTCCTCTGGCTTTCTTTGTGGCCCAACAGAGGTTTTGACAAAGGACTCTTATGGGTTCAAGAGTCTAGAAATGCAGGAGTAAGGTCTGCTGACCCAAGTTCCTGGTCCTGTTCTGCCCACCTGGCACACACTGATCTCACACTGTCCTGCTGAGCCGTCTGTGGATCAACGACAGCCTCCTGGCACTGTCTCATCCACCAGTGCCAATATGCTCACTAATACCACTTCTGTTTATGACACGAAGCAGCCTGAAGAGCCAGCTGAGACTGGAGAGATGCTTCATTTGGTCTTTTCAGCTCTAACCTCAAAGCAGGGAACTCGCCAGTTCCTGGTTTTACCAGCATCATGTTGAGGTGATTGTATGAGCTTGAGTTTTCTTCCAGACGAAGAGACAACTCCATCCATTTGTGCTGTGCCGGATACACGCAACCCATCTTGCTCTACAAGAGTTATCAGAGAGACCACTATCTGGACTGCTGTGAACACTTCACCGGCGCTGCCAGGCTGTCGCTAAGCCTGGCAAGGGAAGTGCTGCTTTTGCTGAAGTGGGCCTTCAAGTGCTATTCTTAGCGGCAGTTTAAGTTGCAGGGAAGTTGGCTTTAATGGGTTGTGCTTGTGCCTAAGCATTTAGAGGTGAAAGAGATGCTGCTTGCTGGAGTTAGAGGGGCATTATCACAGGCATGTTCCTCATTCAGACTTAGGTTCTCTGGTACTCTGTGTGGGTTGTGCTGTTTCTTTCCTTGGTACTCTGTACCAGAAGAATGCCAGGAACAAGAATTGTGTACCGTTCCTCACCCTTGGTGTGGCACAAGGTGAAAGATGCTGCATGCGCTACGGCTGCAAAACCAGAAAGGTCTCTAAAATCATATTTTGGAGGTACTTGTTTTGTGACCTCTCTCAACGTAGTGCTTTCCCACGATAAATAATTTTTCTTATTACAGGTTTCTGGTGGGTATACATTGTATTGAGATTACTCTGTTTAATTTGTTTATTATTTATCGTGTTTTGTAACAATTAGGCTTTTAAAGTTCTACCTTAAAATTGTTCTGCTTTCAGTTAATAGTAATGCAGATTAATAGTTGGAATAAGTTTTGTTTTGTGTCTGAATTACAGTGGTTGTGCTGTACCATAGGACTCCAGTGGTACTTTTAGGAACTATTCCAGTCATCTGCCTGGGCTACTGTCTCTGCCCAGCTGCAGATAGTGCAGCTGGATTTCTGAAGGTTTCCTTGCAGATAGTGGCACTGAATCCAGCCAGGAAGTTAGGATAGGATCTGGATAAGAGATTAGAATAGAAATGCATTGTGAAAAACTAAATGTGTTTCTGAATGAAGAAAATATTCTTCCACGGATTTTAATCTTTTGAAGTTTAAGGTTAAAATCTACTTTAATCTTAATTTTAATCTAAAATCTTAAATTTAAGAGTAAAGATTAAAATATGCTTGAGAGTCTTTTGTAAAAATCTTGACTGGAATTGTGATACGTTGATGCTGTGACAGCACTTCTGCTGCATACTGATGGGCTGGGGCGAGCCCACCAGAACGGGCTGACTTTAAACTTCTGTGTATTGTTGATGCACGTTTTGTTTCTGGGGTAATGTTTGCTGGAAGGACGATATGTTAGGAAATGGGGCTTACAGATTCCCTGTTGCCATCCCCTCATCCTCCTCTAGCCTTTCCTAATGCCTACTCCCACATCATTCACACTTTGGGTTCCTAGTCTGTTGTTCCACATGTGTGATGGAAAGTATAAATATGTAATTATTTTGATAGCGTACTTTTGAAATAATTACTGAAATACTTTACTTTTTTTTTTCCTAAGCTCCTAAAAGACGCAGACCTGCGCGCTCAATATTTGATGGTTTTCGGGATTTTCAGACAGAAACCAGTAAGTGTCTACAGATCAGTAAGCTAGAGGTTCTATTCTTTTTTTTAAATGCAAGTAGGATTGAAAAATAGTTTCCATCGTAGGCTATGGAAGCTTTTAGTCATTTAATATTTTCTAAATTGCCTGCTGTATATCAGAAGGTGTTTTGGTTTTTTTTAATAACATTATTAGGGTGTTCATTTTCGTAGTGTCAGTGTTGTTTGCTCACGTCTCTCCCATGTTTGTGGTACAGTTAAGGTTATTAGTTTATTGCTCCGGGGTGGCTGAAGCGAGAGTACTGAGTAATGGATGTAAGAAGCAAGTAGTGAAGCTGTTGTTCCAAACATATGCCTGTGCTACATAAGTAAAACCTGCAGACAGTATGTTCTGTCTGCTTTCCTATGGCAAATATTTCCCTGGTAACTCTCAAAAAAATACTTTTTCTGCTCTAGAGTGAATTGGAAAGGAGGAAGAATCTAACACCCATGTAGAAATAAAGTTCATCCCATGAATTTTTCTTGACTATCCAGTGGTCGTGCTGGCACTTGAATTAGATTGGAGTAGCCCTGACACTTCTTCCTTGGCCCCACACAAGGTTCTCATGAATTTAATTGCTGTTTACCACTGCCTGCCTGTTCGTACACAGAATCTCCAGATGAAAAAGCACTGACTGTTACTTTAGCCAGTCAGTTTTATAGAATAGGATTCTTTGACAGCAGAACAGCAGGGATTTCACAGCTGAGTTGGAGCAGTTGTGCAGTTGTTATTGCTGATGTTGCTGGAGTGTTTCAGAGGTCTTTCCATGGACCAGGTTCCCATATAGTTAGGTGCTGTTGGATGCTGAACTGAAAATGAGCATTCACAATTACTTTCTTTCCCTTGACAGGTTTTGTCAGGGTTTTCCAGTAGTAATGAACAGGTCAAGCACTAAAGTCACGGGCAGCTGTGTAAATGAAAATACACCATTTACAGAATCATTGTACCCTTAATTTTTTTCTCATCATCTCATCTAAATGCCTTGTTATAAGGCATTTAGAGATGCACAATATGTAAAACCATTGTGAGGGTTTATGATGAAACTTTATCATGCTTTTTGGCAAAACCTTATAGATGAATATCACTGTCTGGCTATCTCTGAGAAAAGCAGATTTGTTTTTCTCTTTTGTTTTCAAGTAAGGTGTTTCTGGAAAGTGATTTAAGTGCCCAGTGCTTAAGGAAGCTGGAGTGGGCAGAGTTCTTACCTTACATAGCAGGTGATCTCGTTCAGTGTGGTCTAACCTTGAGACTCTAGTGCCAAAGTTCTGGGTATGAGCACGTAGTCAATAGTAGATCCCTCCGGTGAGTATTTTATCTAATTCAGCTTCCTTTCCTCTTGGGGCTGTGCAGTTCGACAGGAACAGGAGCTACGAAATGGAGGGGCAGTAGATAAGAAACTCACTACTCTAGCAGACCTCTTCAGGCCGCCCATTGACCTGATGCACAAAGGCAGCTTTGAAACGGTAAGTTTGGAAATTTTGGTGCAGTTCCTTATGTGATGACTGTGTACAGCGTGGAAGCCTTGTGTGGCCTGCTGGCATGCGTGGATCCGTTTGTCGGATGCTCAGAAAGTTACAAAGGACCATAAAGTGATAAATACTTGATGGACTGCATATGGAAATGGTGATGACTCACTGAAGGATTTCAGTGAAGACCACATTGTTTATGTTTCAGTGTCAGTGTGGCAAATCACGCTGGGTGAAAGACTTTAGTGCACAAAGGAGGCTGGTCAAAATGTAAAAAATACATCTTTTAAAGTATCTCTGTATAGCACGAAACAGAAAAAGCTGAAGTAGGATTGCTTTTGACAGGTGAGCAAGTACTTCCCAAGGGGCTATATGGTTTGCAGCACGGTCTTGCTAAGAAGATCAGGTGGAGTTACGTTAACGTGGCTGAGCGGTTCCCGATACCTGACCTAGTAAAAGTATTTGCGTGTGTCTTCGTTATGAAGGCACAATTTTATCTTTAGTAAAGGTCTTGCTCTTCTATAAAATCACAGTGGTTGTCTTTTGCATCTCGTAGTGATGGAAAAACTATCAAAGAGATTGTCTGCCGAAGAAGGGGACTGTTAGCTTTAAATAATTTCAGGTGCCACCTTTTCTGTCTGTAGGCAGGTGTGGATCTATTCATAAGTTGTTATGATATGGATCAGTGACTTAGCTAGTGATTAGAGAATATGCAAATGGTACATATTTATAAAAAAAAAAGAAAAGAATTCTTCACTGAAAGAAGTGCAAGCATTAGAACAGGCTGCCCAGGGCAGTGGAGGAGTCACCATCCCTGGAGGTATCGAACAGCCAGACAGACATGGTGCCAAGGGACAATGGGTTAGTGGTGGACAGCGTGAGGTTGATGGTTCGACTCAATGATCTGAAAGGTCTCTTCCAACCTAGGCAATTCTACGATTCTATATATTTTTTTTTTGAGTCCGTAATTTCTAGATATTCTTCAGAAGTTGCAGTTACTACTGAACTTCCACGTGGTCATCTTTAGGTAGCTGAGATTGATTGTTATCATTATATGATGATTTCATGAGAGTGCAAATTAATGATCGAGTGGTGCAATACAGACATGGCAAACAGTGCTGGAGATCTGACTCCATGAGCTGAACAAAAATATTATTTACATTATTTTCACATTTGCCTCCACTGCCTGGCACAAATACTAGAGCACTGCTGGAGAGGTTTTGGAGGAGTGCTGTGTGAGTCTCCAGCTCTCGTCCTGTTGGCTTCATCTCTCCATTTATGCTTTCCAAATCACCAAGGATCAGCTGGCTTGTCACTAATTCCTGTGTTCTCACAATGCCTTCCATATATTTCATCTTCTCACAAAATTCCAGGTTTGAAAGGATGCTGACAGAGGATAGCTGTGTCTGCTTCAGCAGTCGTTTGGTGCTGTGGCATCCCTGTCTTACAACATGCAGTTCAGGGTTTACTTCAAAGTTGTGTCAGGTCCCCCAGCTGATGACACCTACTGGGCTCATGGTTTGGAGCTGTTTGTGAACCAAGTGAATGCATAGTTAAAGGCAACAGTAAAGGGAATTCACATGAAAACATCCAGTGCTGCTCCAGGCTGGAACATACAGAGTCAGCGAGTGCCCTCTGACCTCTGGTGTGGAATTTAAGATGTGTGCTAGTCTTTTCTTGTGTCTTGCTGAAAGCATATCAAGACACTAGCAGTGTTGATTGTGGCATCCATCACAGTCAGAAGTAGCTTCAGAGGATGAAATAACTGATTGATAGATTTGATTGTCCTAAAGTCTCTGCATTCTTATTCAGTCATGTACGTTTAAAAAAACAAAAAACCAACCAACCAAAACAAATGGAGGGGCAGTTTGTATATACACACACCTTGTCCTGTTTTTTGCAGTAACTCAAATTTAAAAACATGTCCACTTTCTGGTACTGGTATTCACTGTCTTGTGTTCTTGTCCACTTCTTTGTCCCATGGGATACCCCTCATTTCAAACTGACAGTCTTCAACCTCATTACAATAAAAATCTTTAGCTTCTCACTTTGTTTTACCTTTTATGACTGTACACTTTCTGTACTGCTTCAGCCTGGGACAACATCGGGCCTCCTGGGAATCCAGTGACAAGAGTCTCTCAAAATTCACCTCTAGCAAGCTGCTGTTAGCTTCTTCCTTCTCCGTATGCTTAGATAAACATACATAAAGTATACAGTAAATCAGAAGTGTTTATCACATTCCAAGTACCAAAGACTAAATTCTGTCATTTTGATGCTCTTCTAGTTTAGCGTCAATCTAAGTGGGGTTTTCCTGTTATTATTGGTGTATTTTAACCTCTGGAGGGGTGTGCGAAAACACTCTGCCAGTGTTGTGCTGTGTACATTTATTTATCATAGAAAACATTTAGGATGTATTACTTTATTAAAACTTTGGAAGAGTGATGGCATGTGGTCTTATTAAGATTTTCATGTATCTTTGTTCATCTTCTGTTGCTCCTCTCTGGGTGCTCTAAGGTTGATTTTGATAGTAAGTAGGTTTGGTTTTCCCCAAGAAACCTCATTTTTCTTCAATTACATAGAAATTCTGTTATCAGTAAGGTTAAAAAAAAAAGTTGCCATTTAGTTTTAACTCTGTTAAATGGAGGTTTAAGAGTTTTAAGAGTAGGTGGAATCTGCTAGGAATAAATCACTAGAGTACAATAAATACAAAGCATGTTTGGTGTGTAATTTATTTGAAGAACAGCTGGCTTTGGTCCTGATGTCAAAGACTGCTTTCAAGAATTGCAGAGGGGTTCATCTCTTCCTGCGTATGATGTGAGATATGATTTCATTTGTGGGGAGTATGCACCAAAATGAGATTAGTTTACACTTCTTGTTTAGGGAGGCTATAGTTCCGGCGTGTGCATTCAGTGCTTTACAGTCATTAGGATTTCAGTACTTCTGTGAAGTGACTCTATGCAGTGTTGCAGAATTTTAAGCCTGTCTATATGAAATTTCATTATTTTACAAGTTAAACTTTTTCTAGCAGCTTTGCAGCTGATACTGATGTTTTTTTTTCCTTTGTATGTAGCAAGCAGCAGTAGTTTGGAAGCTAATCATTGTGCTCAAATGGTGCAATTGTCTTTGCATAAGGTGCTTCTAGACTGGCTGCTTTCAGAAGCGTAACCTGCAGAGCACCTTTGCCTGGTTGATGGAAGGATGTATATGTCCTGTCCTGCACTGGCCCAGGCAAGAAGCCCAAGTCTAGCACAGATGTTGTCCCAAATCTGGGTTTTTTACCTGGTGTGCAAGCCAGTAACACACAGTATTTCCGAGTTTATTACATTGATGAGCAGAAATGGGGTGCTCGTCCCAAAGGAGCACACCTTAGTTTCAAAAATTTCCTTTTTTATACACTGATCATTACACATTCTAACAATTAATATATATTCACTGTTATTCTCTTTAATGATTGGTCAAGGTTTCGTTGCTTCCTGTGTAAATTAGTGCGCAGGCTCTGTCGTCTTCTTCCATTGGTCTCTTTTGGGTGGGTGGTATCATTTGGGTGGGTGGTCAATGAGTCGGTCATGATCTCCCCCTGCTGAAATTACCTTTTACTTACTTCTCCTCTAATCTTGGCAGTTCCAGGTGGTTTTCTTGGTTTGCTGAGCAGGCCTACAGTTCATCATTCTCATGACAGAAATATCCTGCTTATTAACAAAGCTACATTGTCTGGCAGTTACTTGCTTAATTCAATCTTGGATTAATCATGTCTAGTTACTATTTCTCTATCATTAATGAAATATTGTTGGGGCTGTATGGATAGCTTTTAGCAGCAGTAGCAGGTTCCCTTGGTTGCTTTGAGTACATGTTACGCTTTGTGTTCTGACTTTCTGTCACCTATTCTTCCAAACTGAACCATGGTTGATTAGCAGATGTCCAGAAGGTCACAAGACACTGGCTCCACTTCCTTCTTGCTCTCTGCTGACTTCAAGGAGCGGTGCATTTCAACAAAGCTGGGCAGGGAACACCCACCGCTAAATTTGTTAACCATATATGGATCAGAAAAGTCAAATGAGAGGAAAACATGTTATTATTAGTAGTGCGAGAACTAGAGGTTATCCAGCGAGATCCAGCACTTTCCAGCACACAAAACAAGACTACTTTGACATACCGTCGAATCCCGTTGCTGGTTTGTTGCTATCAGTTGTCGCAGTGATGAAAAATGTGAAATGGGTAGAAAAGAGACTGGTGATCTTAAGCAGGTTTGTTTGGGTTTTGGGTCTCACCGGTTCTATCTGAGATCCGCTGCTGCTGTTCCTACTCCACTGGCTGCCAAAAGCTTTTGCCAGAGATGCTTGCGAGGAGTGGGTGTTTTGTACCTACCCTGTCTGTGTGCTCTTCACCTGCCTGGTGCTGGCCTTTGTACCTCCGAGGAGGAGGAGAAATGGGGGGCAGTTGATGTTGGAAACGGTGGATCTAAAGCCATCAGACACAGCTTTCTGGATATACAAGCCAGCTCTTGAGCCTTCCCTTGTTCTTTTTGTTACTTACCGAAATGACCCACTGATATAATCTCCAAACCCCCAGTGTTTCCCCCCCTGCCCCCTTCTCCTTCCACCCACCTCCATCCCCTCAGAAAAACCCCAGTAGCTGTATAAAAGCAGAATTGTGTGTGCATGAGTTGGTAACAATTTAACTGTATCCTTTTAAATGTTAAATGTGAAGCCTGTTCTTTTTAGAAGGAAGTTAAAACTAATTTCAAAAGCTATACTTGCTCTACTGGTGAAAACTCATCTGTGCAAATGTTCTATGTGGAATTTTCTGCTTGCATCTTTTCGAGGACTGTAGCTGGATGGAGGAGAGGTAGAGCCAGGTTTTCACTAATACTGAAAAACATACAAAGTAGGTGTAGCAGAGTGAGATGTACTTTCCAGCTTTCCTGTTATATATTTTTGAGTTTGTTCTTTTAATCCAGTATGGATTATGCTAGAACACAGGACTAAGGCAGTTCAATTGACTCAAATAACATAAGGATTTTTGTTCCCTTTAGTCTTGGACAGTACCTTTAGACCTCATCTTAAAATGATTTCCTAGAATTAGTTCTCAAAAACCCACAGCTACCTCAAAACAAGTCTTTTAATAAAAGCATAATGACTGTATTTAAGACCCTTACCAGTGTCACCTGCCCTGCTTTTTTCTCCTGGTGACCAAATATTGGATTCTGACACTGTATTGTTAGTGGTAAGTAGTTAGTGTGAGGTCCCTTATGAGAAAAGGAGAACTATTCCATTCTTCTACATTCATTTTTTTTTCCTTTGAGTAAAATAAAAATTGGCTTTGCAGGTCACTTGACCATGCAGATTGATTTTGTAGGCTGAGATTCTTCATTTTGAGAAGCTAAGTGTGTGGGGTTCACATGTCTGTCTATCACACAATGGATAGGCTGACTGTTCAAAAGTGTACTAGCTAAAATTCGTTTTCAAACTAAAAACTTTGGTTTGGGGAACAAAATATTGCCCAAAACAGCAAGATCTTGCTTAACATCCTAATTCCTTGAGTTTGCTGTGAAGTGCATTACCAGCAGGATGGTGAACACGCTTATAAATTAAAAAAATACCTTTTTTTCTTTTTTAAAAGGAGAGGGAGTTCATATGCTAGTTCCAGTCTTTCCAGGTGGTAAGAGCATTCCTGCTGTTGATATAGCCCTCTTTTTTTCAACAGGTATGACAGTTCAGCGATCAGAATTACATTCTTGATCAAACTCCTACCATTAACTTGCAACCAAGCAATCAGACAATGCCAGCTTTGTGACTCAAACCAGTAAGATTTCTTCCTGCGCCTTCCCGTTTTCCTCCCCACTTGCAGCCTGGATAACGAGCCTCAGAAAAAGGATGCCTAATTCGGCAGTTGCACAGTAATAGAATAACTCAAAACTTGGAGAGAAAAAAGAAAACATGCAGAGAGGGGGTCCTGTTGAATTGATGCGAGTCCTCTGTCAGTTATGCAGTCTGCTTCAAAGGAAGATGATCCTCAGGTTTATCTTTAGAATGAGCAGGTCTTTCCTCTGTCGTCAGATCAGTGTGATTGACTACAGTCTTCCTGAGCAAATACTTTATTCAGCGTCCCTGTGTCATCCCCTCTCTCCCCCCAAATTGCATTTCCCGCTCTGTGCTTGACTTGTTGAAATCCAGCAGCTCTGTTCATCGATGTGATTCTATAATTCAACCAGTCTCGTTTAAAGTGGGCCTTTCAGCCCTGCCTGCTGTTTTGTGGATGCCTGTTCACTAGCACTGTCCATCTTTCTCACCGTGAAGGGGGTTTGGTGAGAAATCAGACAGTGTTAGGAGCCATTGCTGATCGTTGCTGGCATTGGTTGAGTCTGGCTTTTCAGTTTCGTCTAATGAAGCTTTTCTCTCTGCTTACAGGCCAAGGAGTGTGGGCAGATGCAGAACAAATGGCTCATGATAAACATTCAGAATGTGCAAGATTTTGCCTGTCAGTGTCTCAACCGCGATGTCTGGAGCAACGAGGCTGTGAAGAACATAATCCGGGAACATTTCATTTTTTGGCAGGTGGGAAAATTAATGGGGCTGTGCTGGTAACTTGGTGTCCTGGTAGATGGGGCAGTGAAAACAATGGACTTCTCTGAGTAAAATGGTGCTGTTGCAGTTCTTGGGTTTTCTGGATGTAGATGTAGTTCATGGATATGCATTGGAATGCATAAACTGTCTTTCACTTGTGCATTCAAGTTGTTAACCAGATAGCTTATAATACATGGACTGGTAGAGGTGTATTTTCAGCTTGTGAGAGTTACTGAGAACTGTATATACCATTTGTAGTGTGTGCTGTAAAATAGAGAAAAACTTTGTACATTTTCAAGATACGGTTTGTTTGTGTTCTCTCTCCACCCAGTAATTTGCTTCCAATGTGGTGTTTTGTAGGTGTACCATGACAGTGAGGAAGGACAGAGGTACATACAGTTTTATAAATTAGCAGACTTCCCTTATGTCTCCATCCTGGATCCCAGGACAGGTAAGATAAGTGACAGTGGGTTGGTTACCTACACTTTATATATCCAGTGAGAAGGACTGGCAGTTGTGGGCTAGAACACCATCATTCACAGGATGTGTTATGTTCACCTGAAGAATCTCAGTTACGTTGTTTTGCTCTCTGAGAGACCTTGTTGTCCTGAAGAAGTGAAGTGATACATTTTGGAGGAACTAAGGGGATAAAACTCCCAAGGCTTGCTGAAATCTTGTGTATTTGTTTATCGTACTTGGTAGAGCTTAGCAAGTACTTTGCTTGGAAAGGGAAGATAGTGCCACTTGGTGGTAAAACTCTGAAATGAATTTTTTTTAGGTGTCCTTTTAAAAGTGACTTGAAATCATGTGATGAAGGAGCTGCAGTATTTGTAAGCATTACGTGAATCTACTTCTTGCTCCTTGCGCAGCAGCTCTGTGAGGTTCCAAGATGACATTAAATTGCATCTCAATTTTGAAAGACCATTTTGGCTTTGGGTTTTTTGTTTGAGTTTGGTTTTTGTTTTTAACTGAAGAATGAAGCTTCTACCTCCCCTTCCAGGTTTTTTGAAATAGTTACTTTTTCTTTTGTATCCCAACACCCTTCCTTCTTTTATCATCATGTAATGCCACTGTATTAATTGTCTGGTCTCCTGCTCCTCAGAACTGATGTAATAGTTACTGTAATCAGAGCTGAGATTTCTTGCTATATGACTTAAACCACCCAAACCCATTTTTTTAATGTTGAAATTGAAGTTAGACTACACTTCTTCACACTTTTCCTTGGCTGTTTGCCAAGGTGTAGAATGAAAGCAGGCAAGAGTGTAGAAATGCTTCTTTGTAAACTTAGTGGTTTGGCTTTTTTTCCTTTCAGTGCCAAATTCATCATTCTGTGCACACATTCCCATAGATAAAAGAATGGAAATAAGCAGGGTCTGTATTTATATCCATCCATGATTGAAAATCATGGGGGGTGGAAGGAGGAAGTTTCATAATTATCAGGTGGTAGCCTGTAGGATGCTGCAGTTCCACAAACACGGACTCTTGCAGGGTGCAGGCACAGCAGTGAATTTGACCTCTAAGCTGCAGTCTTTTACTGAAATTATGTTTCCTGAAACCTTTTGTTCCCTAGGCCAGAAGCTAGTGGAGTGGCACCAGCTAGATGTGACTTCCTTCTTGGACCAAGTGACCGGATTCCTGAGTGAGCATGGACAGCTGGATGGCCATTCTACTAACCCTCCCCAAAAATGCTCTCGTTCAGTAAGTATGAAGCCTTCAGGAAGACTGGGGAAAACTGGAAGAAAATGCTAGTGTGTGTTTATCCTCCTGTACTGATTTCCCATTGAGTAGTATAAAGAGAGTTAATGAGTTAGTGCCAGAACATGCAAAAATATGGCATGCCAGGTAATGCCTTCTCCCACTATAACTATTTTTGTTGTGCAGTTTGTGCTTTCAGCATTTGTTTTGGATATAGGAGTCGCAGAATTCTGCATGTGTGGAAGGAAAATATATCACTCCGTGTGAAACTCCAAGGAGAAGTCATTAAGTAGTCATAGCATAACAAACTTTCCATGGTGTTTGTTCCTGACAGTTTTAGTAGGTTCTCTTTGGAAAATGGGTGTCCTCTTGATTTTCAGTTCATATTTAAACACAGTTTTCATGTATTTGTGTTATGTCTGTATTCAACAGGAGAGTCTCATTGATGCCAGTGAGGACAGCCAGTTGGAAGCTGCTATCAGAGCCTCGTTACAGGAGACGCACTTTGATTCCTCTCAGGCCAAGCAGGAGAGTCGCTCAGATGAGGAGTCAGAGTCGGAGCTTTTTTCTGGAAGCGAAGAGTTTATTTCGGTTTGTGGATCTGAGGAGGAGGAGGAATCAGAGAATCCTGCCAAGCTGAGGAAGTCTCCGCACAAGGACTTGGGGTATAAAAAAGAGGAGAGCCGGAGGCCTCAGCCTGAGCCCCCTGCAAGGACTGAGCCCGGGACAGCATCAAATCACCGAGTACTGCCTTGCGTTGATGCAGGGACACTGGAGGAGTCCACGGACAAGCCTGAAAGTACGTTCCAGGGCCCAGATGCGAATGGTAAGTTGACACTGGTTTGGTTTTTTTTAGTGACCTGTGTTTTGGGATTTTTTTCCTGAAAATCTTTACACGCTGACAAGCATCGTTTCACCCATTGTTTTGAAACAAACCTAGACCTTTTCTTCTGCCTTACTCCCTCCTTGACACCAGATGTCTGAGTGCTTCACCTCGCCAGCAGCACCGCTCTGGCGCAGTGATGCCACAAAGTGCAGAGTTGTGTTAGTCACTGAGCTCGAGTTTCTTAGTTTGAGACCTTGTCCACGAATAAAGTTGGTGTATGCGGATGCATATGCCAGGGCTTCTGCCAGTATGGCAGGGAGAAGCAGGGTAAGGTCAGCCCCACCTCGTGCTCAGTTAGCTCAGCTGCCTGGACTCAGTTTTAGCTATAGTAACACAACTTTGGCCAACACAGACGAGTCCCCAGAGTCTCTGTTCCTCCCTGTGGTAACTGAGCTGGGGTGCAGCAGAGTGAGGTGGTCTCAAAGGCAGGGGTAGCACAGTGTGATTTTCTCTGGGAACGCTGGCCGTTTCAGTCACTACTGTAAATTCTTTAAAGAGTCCTGAGTTTGATGTGCATATTTGAAACATGTGGTAGAAGTACATCCTCGTAGACTGGAAAACCTTGTATTTGTCTCCATCCCCTAACCTCACTATGCCGCACAGTAAAGCGTGCCACCTGAAATCTACAGAGCTCAATTCAGCTGCCCTGTTTGTTAACTTGTAGTAACTTCCTTTATGCTAGGACCAAAGGCACAGCTGATGCTAAGGTATCCAGATGGAAAGAGGGAACAAATTTCACTGCCTGAACAAGCTAAACTTCTGGTGAGTGGAGTTAATCAGAATCCTTCTTTGAGTACAGGAAACTGGAGAATTTCTTTTCCTGCGGTGGCACTACTGAAATCGGATGTAGTGAAAATGGTATATCCAGGGAGCACTTGCACTGTCATTCCGTTGTTCTGCTGTCATTCCTCTCTTCAATCAGCAGACTCTGCTGGCTCTGCATGTTTCCATTGCTGCTTGGGTTGCGTGTACACTCCAGTGTCTTCTTTAGTCCCAAAACGGCTAGTTGCCTTTCTGAAATTACTCTAAACAGCTTTTGCATTAATTAATCATTAAATTACTCTAAAATACTCTCAGCTCACTTGCTTATGGTTGGTTTTTTGTGTTTGGTTTGTTGCGGTTTTTTTTGCTTGTGGTCAGACAATGGTAAAATCAAAGGCAAAACTCTTCATTCTTGTTCTCTCTCTCTTTCACTGTACTCGCACACTCCCTTCTGGATGTGGACGACAGAGCAGACTTTGGAGGAAGTTCTCCCAAACAAATTTGTTATAATAATATTTAATTACTGTGCTTCGGGTGTGCGTCTCAGCTGTGCTTTAGGCTTCCTTACCTTGGAGGAGTCAATGTGGATGGCATTTCCATCAGAATTTTGTAGGTGCTTATCTGGAAGCGGGGTGTATTCCTGTTAGCTGTGAGTTTTCGTGACATGGTGACCAGTTAAGCTCATTTTAGTCGAATCAACCTAAAAGCTCTGTATTGAAGTTGTGGGGAAGGCAAACCCACGCTTTTTCAGAAGGATCTCATGTACATTTAGAAGAAATGTGTCAGATCTCTTACAGACAGTGAGACTATAACCCAGTCCGCAGCACTCTAGGAGTGTACAGTGTCTCAAGCTCATATTCTCATCCTCAACTCTTTTACTTGAAAATTAAAGGGGAGGGGGAATTGCTTTTGTTAGCGCTCTCAAAACTAAGCGTAAGTGGGTAGAGTGTAGACTGCCTGCAGGACATGTGGAGTCCTGGGATATACAGACAGAGCAACACTGGCAGAGAGCATCGCTCTTACTGTAGGAATCACCCTTACTTTTAGACTGTTCTTGCTTTCTCAGAGCAGTCATTGGTGTGCAATCTTTATCCAAGTACTCTTTTATATCTTAACTGCTTTTTGAAAGCAGTCTTTTAAATAAAGTTGTGTGTATGATTAAACGTGTAGCGCTTTTGATTAATTAATTAGTTTATTTAGGTGATACGTAGGTGTAACACTGATATGTTCCTGATAATGCTCACTTTTGGTTTAACTCCTTTTATGGACTGCAGTAGTTAAAGGAAGTTAAATCTCAGCACGTGATTTCCTTTACTGCCGCCTGCTCTACTGTCAGCAGAGGAATTAATCGAGTTAAGGTCTGAGGGTGAAGATCTTTTGTTGCAGAGCTGAACAGGCACCTTCTGTGCTCATGTCATGTGATCTTTTAAAACCATTTCAGCCAAATCAAGATTGAGTCTCAGGTGTTTCTTTGTGAGCATCATTTCCATGCCGATTTTTTTCAGCCCTTGGTTGCTTTCATTTTAAAGCTGCCCAGAACTACAAAAAGTAATTGTCTAAGGAGACAGGTGCACTGTAGAAGTTTTAACTGGTGGTACGATGTTGCTCTCCCATCACCACCAGATGTATTTAAAAAACATTTTTTCTTCTTTTTTAAATCATGGTATTGTTGTCAATCAAGAGTGGCTTCTTTACACACTGTGTGAAGGACGTACTTATGATTCCAATATTGCCGTAATCCTTTTTTGCCTCCAGGCAAAAAAAATGGCAACACTGTCTCTTTATAGAAGCAATTGCTCATTGCTCATTATAGAAGCAATGGCTCAGCCCTTTGTCTGCCTTTTGTTGTCTGCCAAGTGCTGTAAGGTATGCGGGAAAGGCTGGCCTTTCAATGGGACAGGAGGGACCTGCGGGCTGGAAACCTCACTGAATTTTTAAATACAGCGGTTTGTAAAGGAATTGTGATCTTCCTTGTTACCTGAAAAGGAAGTCAAGCCCACTTACTTGCATTCCTCATCAGACACAGGCATTGTAATCTGCAAAGCCTGTTGGAGAACAGTCCAGCTAAAAAAGGAGGTTGGGGGTGACAGTCTCCTCATACCAAAGGGTTGGTGTGTGGGTTTTGATGAATTCGGAAGAAATATTTGTGCTGGTACTTCCTTGGCTGTTCTGCATCTTGGAAATGTCCAGGTTGAAAAGAATCCCTGGAGATCATCTGGCCTTAACCCTCTGTTGAAAGCAGAGCTGTAGATGAGGTTATTCATGACCCCCTCAGGCTGAATTTGAGTACTTCCAGCAAGGGACCTTCTCTGTTGTGGAACAACACTTCTCTGGATTGGAACTCCACCACTTCTCTGGGCAACTTACTCCAAAGTTTAATTTCTCTCACAGTAATTACTTCTCTCCTTCCTTATATCCAGATGAAATTTCCTCTGCAGCAATTGTGTGCGTTGTCTTTTGTCACCATGCATATTTGTGAAAGAAATACCTTTATCTTCTCTGCGTGGAACACTGATGTTATTCCCACCAAGCCTTTTCCTTTTTAGGCTCAACAATCCAAGTCCTTCAGCCTTTCTTCATGTACTGAGGCATGTCCTATGCTCTAGTCATTTTAATGGCCCTCCACCGAATCCTCTCCAGTTTTCCCTTGTCCCTCTTGAATGTGGAGAGACCAAAACTAAACAGAGTATTCCAAGTGTGGCCCAGCAGAGCGGTGAAATTGTGTCCCTTGATCTGGTGGCAGTACTCTTGTTGGTGCACCTTGGGTTTGCTGTCGCTGCTGCAAGGCTGCACTGCAGAAACATCTTGGAGCTTTCTTGATGAGTTTTGGCAATCTCTCCATGACATCCTGGATCTTGGCTTGAGCCAAAGCTTCTTCAAGCAGGCTTCCAAGAGTTAGCTTGGCGGTTGGGTGCTTCAGTCCCCCGCAGGAGTAGTCCCCTCCACCAGCATGCACTGCTTTTCCCTACTGAGTAGGACCAGTGGGTCCAGTTGTGTCTTCCAGTGGAACTTGTTCATCCTCTCCATTTATTGCCATGAGTACAGTGTTTTTTCAACTGTTTGGTTGGTTTTTTTCCCCCCTCCATATGAGAGGAGAGCTGCTGTTTTGCAGCCACAGGTCTCCGGGGTGCCTTACCTTGCAAGTTGCCATCTTCCCTGTGTTTCTGTCGTGCTTCTGGTCACCCCGTTCTGTCTGCGCCGCAAGGCCTTAGTTCTTGCCCATTCAGTGTTGCTGCTGGTGTTGTTGCCTCCTGCTTCCCCGCTCATCTTCCCTGATGCCACAGAACAACCTGACCTCATTCTGCAACTCTTTGACCTTGTGCTCCATCTGCTTGGATGCCCCTGAAGCGTTAGGAAGAGTACTGTGGGCTGTTGTGGGAGACCATACCCTGTGTCATGTCAGCAATGTATGACCAGCAGCTTTCCAAACACCAATGTGAGCAGCCACCCAAGTGATCTCCCGAACCTGTGAGCTGTAGCAGTAACTGCCAGCTGCTTGTTTGTCACCAGTTTTTTCCGTGTGCGGGGTCACAGCGGTCCCAAAGTGACACCTAAGTAGCAAGGAGAGGCTAGTGGAATAATTGGTACGAGTAGAAGCTTAATACTGTTCACTTACCTCCTTACACTTAACTTGCAGACATAAGTTGTCCACCAAAACTATGTGAACAGTATTGTTGGGATGCCCTTATTTTTTCATACTTCCCATTTTATTCCATACTAACTGTCTTTTTTCCCCTCTTTGAAAAGCTATGACTCTTCATTCTGCCCGAGTCTTGCTCTGTTGCTGTATCCCCTGCTGTTCTGCCAATCTCCATTTCTCTGTCCCTCTCTATTCGTACTTTACGCTCTCGTCTGCTGTGTTTCCTGATGAACCTGGGAAATCTCTCTCACGGGAGCATGGACTTCAGCTCTTCCTGACACATCTGCTTGTTGGGTTGTGTGGCTGACACCCCTTCATCCCAGTGCCCTCTGTATCCTGCCCCGATTGCTATTGTAGGCAGAGAAGTCAATGAATTGAGAAGAGCTTTAAAAAACAAAACAACCCCAAAACCTCGTGCTTCTTGAACGCAGGAAAAAAATTTTTAGTAAAAATACTGCTTTTTTTTGGTCAATGTTACCTGACAGAAATGCTTCTTTGGTGATTGCAAAGTTTTTTTTAAAGGAAAATGGGGTGGGTTTTTTTTTAACATTCTTTTGTGTTGTATATATGAATTATATGACACTTCTTCGGGTTTCTTTCTCTCCAGGCTCTTGTGAAACATGTCCAGTCAAAAGGATACCCCAATGAACGCTTTGAACTTCTCACCAACTTCCCTCGAAGGAAACTCTCCCACCTGGACTATGAGATCACATTACAGGAGGCAGGCCTGTGTCCTCAAGAGACTGTCTTTGTGCAGGAAAGGAATTAGCACCGCGGCCTGAGTTCTCCCAGCCTTCCTCCCCTCTCCTCTTTGCCTGGGACACCAACTCGTTAAATATGCAGTTGAGGGTCATGGGATTGCAGCGCTGAAATCAGGCAGGCAGCTGGCTGGCCCTTCTCTCTCTTCTTCCCTTCTCCTGCTCTAGTGACCAAATGAGAGTGTTCAGAGTTTTATTTTCCTTCCTCAGCCTGAGCCCTGTGGAGAGCGTTGAGAAGAACATCGTCCCTGTGTTTTCATGGAACAAAGTAGAACGGTGTGATCTGTGTATCCACTATGGTGGGGCTCGGAGCAGCCATAGTACGCATACCCTTCTCGCTGCTATTCTTAAATCTGTTTTGTTTAATTTATTTTTTGGAAAATAGTGTGTGATAAGGCACTGAGTCATCTCTCTGTAAAGGACAGAGTGTAATCTTCAGTGCAGTCTTTCCCTTGTTCTGATTCTCTGCATGAAAGGTCTCCATTAACCGTACAGCCGCCTCAAGGGTTCATGTACCTAGCGCTCTGCGAGGAAGGAGCTGGGTTGAGCTGTGGTGAGATACTTTTGACTCCATCTAATCTAAAGGCTTCTAGATTGCATGCATGTTTCCCCCCCTGCTTTAAATGCTGCCGGTGGACATGATAAGAAAAACCACCAACCAAAAATAGAAGCCCAGCTATACTCTGTATGGGATTGATGACTTGGCACAGAGGGAAAGCTGCACGTCCATTGTTGGAGCAGATTTGTCTCCTTGGTGGGGTTTCCATTTGTTCTCTTCCCAACACCCCCTCAGTGTCTCCTTTTTACTCACTCTCAGGATTTTGCAAATGGTCATAGAAGGTGGTAGGATACTGTAAAGATCTTGGGTTCTCTAGAGAATACCTGTTGCAAAAACTTGACTGTTAGTTGGCTTTTTTCTTTGCCTGGTATTTTTTGTTTTCCCCAGGAGTGACTAGTTTTGCAGGGGTTTTGGTGCGGTTGAGCAGGACAGCAAGTCATAGACAGGTTTTCTTTCATTAATTAAAAATGTACACAGCCTTGCCAAACTGTGGAATTAATTATGCTTTATAAAAGACTTCACAGCCTGGTGGCTTCTGTGCTCTGGGCTGCTTTTTATTCCACTTTCATCTTCACTTACCTCTAAATGTGGAAAGCTGCTCCTTTATTTAGGCTCTCTTCAGCTGTGGAAGGTGGCACCAAAAGTCACGCAAGTGTATCCTGGGCCTTGCAGAGTGCTCTGTTTCCCAAGTGTCTTCTCTAGGCATCAAGCTGATGAGTTGGTGTTACAGTAGGCATTTCAGTGGGATAAAACTTCACTCAAACAACCATCCTCAAGGTGGATGTGGAATTTGTGTATTTACAATTAAGAACTGGGTGTAGCGCGCTCTTCATCAGTGAGGAAAACAGCACGTGAGACCTGCCGTAACTGCTGCCTTTCTTTGCAGCTGTCAGATGATTATAATTGTTAAAGAAAAAGACTTTCTTTAATCGTCATAAATTTACTGTAGACTAAAGCTTTTCATCCTTTGGAGTCTTGACATGTAGGAAATCCCAGAAAATGTCTTGCATTCCCCATGAATGCAACCAGCTCCCAACTGTCATCTTCTCACAACTGAGGTTTTTTACATGTAATCATACAATTGATTATCCTTCTACACAAAAACTATCTCATGTTCTACTGCAAGGTGCAGTATCAGGAAAGCAAAATCTGCTAGTGGTTTCCAGATCAGCAGTTGATGTGACGTTGGATGTCGGTTTTGGCTTGTAAAGATACTCTTGTAAAGAGACTCCACCACCATGGAGGTGGCTTCCCAGCATTAGAAAGTGAAAGGTCAGCAGAGGAGGGGGGGACGTTGGTGTTTGGTCTGTGAAGCAGCATTGGCACCTCTAGACTGAAGGATTTTGTGTTTCTAGGATATGCCAATTCATAACTCAGACGTATGAGTGGGACAGAAGGAAACCCTTTCAGTGTAGGTCTAACGCTTCCCTGAGTGGCTTCAGCTGTCTAATTGAAATAACTCATGCTGACATTTGTTGCCTTGAAACTCGTTGCCTCTTCTGTGGTGAGCTGCAGGAAGATGAAGGTGGGCTGCCAGCAGGGCGCAGTTCCCAACACAGGTATAGACAGTCCTTCCGTCTCCCTCCCCGTGGGCTGGGGTGGGAGCGCGTTGTCCTTTCCTGCCCCTCCTGTAGGGCAAGGGAGCCTTTGTGGTTCCACTGATTGCTCTTTTGGCTGGCAGTGTTTGCTGGTGGAGGGCCAGCTTGTTTTGGACAGGCTTGGCTTTGTATCCGCGCTGGGAACGTTGTTCCACATCAGCTTTTCTGGCAGTTAAGTTAAACATACAAAATTGACTCTGCCTTTTCAGTCCCAGGTCTGTTTTACTGGTGGCTTCTCTTGGCCCCTGCCCCTCCCAGCTGGTACTGATGGAGGGGGGGCCAGGCAGTGATAGGTTGAAGCAAACCTCTCCTCTTTGCTCAGCTCTAAGGAAAAGAGTAACCTTACACTTACCATCTTGCTGTCAAAAAAAAAGCCCTGGGTGAGCTTTTTGTTGCTTTTCTTACACCAAGAGCAGCTGAGTCCCCTCTCTGATGAGGAAGCTGCCATTGCACTTGGCTGCTGCAAGTTTATTTTTAAACCATCAAAAACCACACCTCTTGAGCACAGTAAATGATTTTGCCTGCTGGTGTGGTGAGACTGGGAGTCCTTACGCTCTCACTTTATTTTTTTTTTTCTTTCTTGAGGTTTTATTTAGAAAAATATTAGTATTTTTATAACCTAACAGGGAAAGAAGAATGTGAAATTGAAGATTTATATTGAGAATGGGATTTTTCCTTCCATCTCACAGCTCCTGGTAGTTTGTTCTGTTCCAAGAAATTATGAGCCTGTTTGTTTTGTTCCTCTGGCACGATGTGGTTTTTCTTCCACTTTTCTTTTGCAGAAGAACTTCCACTTTTCTTCTGAGAGCAGAAGGCGGTGAAAAAGTGGTTTTAAGAAACACGCGTCCCAGCATGTGGCTCTTCTCTCCCTTCATTCCTTTCCCCTCTTTCCTCCTTTTTCCCAACCCAAATAAAACCAGTGCCACGGCTACGATCAGCTGTGCTGTGGTGGCTGAAAGCAGAATCCTGGCACCAACCAGGGTTCAGTCTCTTCTGTGTTGAAGCCCTTTGGAGTTTGGAGGCACTTGTTTTGCTGGCCTGAGGAGTGTGCTGAAAACACGAGCCAAGTTCTGCCTGCAGCAGCTCGCAGCAGTGAAGGTGTAAGGTATTTGGGCTCTATTTATAAAGAGCCTTTGTCACAGTTGTGACATCTGAAGTGAAATCTGAAATTGTGAAATCTGAAGTTCACATTGCTTTTGACAAGGTTGGAAAAAACGCCTTAAATCTCTGATTGCAAAGTAAGGTGTTGAAATATGAAGGACAAAAGAAAAAAATCCTTCAAAGGCTGTGGTTTGTGGCTTACTGTGCGTGTTGGTCAGCCATAATTTGCATCTTGGGTTGCGAGGGCCACCAGGAGTTTGGAGAAGCAGAAGGGCATGTAGACAGTGGAAGTCTTTCTGGGTAGAGAGCTAAAGGCTTTCAAGCTGTAGCTTCTTGATGCTTGTGGAGATGTTTCCTTTGCGGGTGCTCTTCATCTAACAACGCTTTGTTTTGACATTTTGTGTCTAACTGCAGCTAGTAGTCACAGTCACAACCAGTTTCCAGAAACAGAAGGCAAAATGAGTGCTGGCTGTCCCTGCCAGGTGCTTTAGACACATTTACTGTTGGCTTCCCACCTCTGATCCTTCAGAGGCCCAGAGAAGGATTTCAGGTCTTCCTTGGCGATATGTGCTCCAAGTCAAGCTGATCGACCAGCTTCAAACCTCTCAGCAGTCCCTGCTGACATAAAAAGGGCAGATAAAGGCCGTCCCAAACATCCCTGGGTGTCCTTGTGTTATTTTCATTAGGCTTTGAATTTAAGTCTGCCATTTTTACATTCCTGACATTCATGGACTGAAATACATTGCCATCCCCGATACATCGGATAAATAAGATAAATATTAAAGGAATATCCATGGATGTGCATAATAGCCATGTGAAATACAATTGTCTTTAAAAAGGCATCCAGAGGTACCATTGTTCCTTGGTAGATTTAAACAGCAGTTTTATGTCAGCTCCCTGCTTTCTGGAGCTCACTGTAAACTACGTCTGGTTTTCACTGCTGTTTGCGTTTCACATGGTCCACTACTCTCATGGATGCATTTTTAAAACAGTACTGAATGTATATACTCATCTGCACCAGCTTATACAGCTTCCACTTTTACTGGTGCTAGCTTTTGTACCCTTGCAGAAACTGGCAGCTGGTTTTAGTCCATGTTTTAGTAAATAAACCTCACTGCAGAAGAGCCTAATTTCTCAAATTTCTGCTCATGCCAGAGCACCAAGCTCGTTTGCAGGGACTCCACAGCAACAAGGGCTAAACCTAAAGCCATTTTCTCCTGGGGGCAAGGAATCGCTTGGGCTGCGTTTTGTCAGATACTCGCTGCGGAGATGCACAAAATGTGGTGTTTGTGGTTGCATTTCTCAACCATGTAGGAACAGATAAGACAGACCCGTGTGGGAATGTCCGTGTGGATGGGAAGGCTCATGTCATTTCAGGAACTCATCACTTAATTTTTAATCCCTTCTTAGCTTTTAGCAAACGTCACTACTTGCTTCTTGTTTAATCTCTTTTTAGTCAAGTTAGTTGAAAAACACGTTGTCCTGTATTCCCAGAGGAGGAGGAGGGGTGGCAGAGGTGGGCTTGCAGGAGGGTGAAGTGCAAAGTCTCAGTCCCATAAAGAGCAGCAGGTGCACCTAGACCAGCTGTTTTAATAGATTTGATTGCGGCCTTTTCTCCACCCTTTCTGTTTGTTTGTTTTGACAGAAATTACTTTCTACAAATGGAACAGCTATTGTTAAAGAGGTAAAACAAAACTCGTGTTTTTAACCCTGTGTTGGCCATCTGGGTTGTTGGAAGTACCTGCAGTCACGTGTTTGGAGTTGATCTGCAGACGTTTGGCGACCAGCACTTGAGGTCTGTTGGTTGACGTTCCACAAAGACAGTCTTGCCCAGGTTTTCTCTGTCCGAGCCCAAGATCTTATGGCAGTTTGGTTTGTACTCTGCTGTCGGCCCCAGAACCCATGAGGTTAATGGAGACCCTTCCTGTGGTGGTGTACAGGATGACTTCTACTCCAGCCTCCTCTTGTCTGTTAGGTGACTAGTGTCTGTCCACTCCCAATAAATATAGCCATATGTATATATATATATACACACACACACACACGCGTGTGTTTTTAATTGGAGAATGCAGCACTTAACATCAGTGCCTCAACTTGCCTCAGTTTTATCTTCTGTTGCTTTCCATGGATATATTATGAGCGATTGCAGAAGCTCGGGATCTGATCACTGTCTTTAATGACTGTGAGTTGTCTGCAGTACAGAGGAAAGTCATTTTGTAGCTGCTCGTTAAATGGTGCTGAGACTCTAAGGTATAGCAGGGCAGGTAGTAAAAGTTCTTGGAGCAGGGGGACGAGGTGCTATTTTATAGAACAGATTTACATGAAGAACATTTGGGTAAAACTCAGCTTGGAGATGTGGTGCCTCATCAGAGACACCAGACTATAGGATAGATGATTTTTATAAATGAGGCTGTTTCCTCTAATTGGTGAACTTAGAGTTTCAAAATTATGAAATTTTCAAACTGTAAGCTCACCAATTAGAGGAAACAGCCTCTTTTTTTTTTTTTTTTTTTCAAAATTATAAAATTTTGAAAGCCTGTCAATTTTTACGGTAGCCACTTTCTTCTTCAATGATGGCAACTTCAAGTGGGAGGAAGGAGAGGATTAATTTGGAAGATTTCAGCTCACTGTGCTGGGAGGGACCAAACTCAAGGAAACCTCTGATCTATATACACAACTGCTGCATTTTTTTATAAATATATGTAAATGTCCTATTGTAATATTTGATCCTGGGAATAAACCAAACTGTTTTCAGTAGCTTTCTTCATCTCTTGGTTTTTGGGTTTGGGTTTTTTTAGTTGGTTTAGTTCTAATGAAAGTCTGTCCCTGCATTATAATGGGGAGTTTCTGAGGTTTTTTTTCTTGAGGTTATTGGGGTAAAAGGAAAGAAAATTGAACTGGATTCCCTCTATTTGTCTATCTGAATTTTTAGTATAATGGTCAGACTGAGCGCTTTTCTTTTTCCTTTGCCTGCTGATCTGTGATGTCTGGGCTCCTTGGGATGTTCCTGTGATGGCCTCAGGTGGAATGCCGATGGGCAGAGTCCTCCTGGACAAGAGTGTAGCAGGTAGGGTGGGGAAACAAAAGCTTAAAGAGACTGCTCTGGGGTCATCCTCATGTTCCTGACTGTAGGTAGGTCTCCCCTGAAACAGTCGTTTTGGCTACTGTCCCAGTCTTGCCCTGTTAGAACTCTCCAAAAAGTTATGGACAGGGTGGCTTACAGTGCCAGCAGTCATGGCAACGTCTTTGACCAGTGCTCATGGTGACTGGGTTCCAGCAAGCTGTGGGGAGGAGGGCAAATGTGCTCCCCTGGTCCCAACCCAAAGCTTTCTCAAGGGAGGTTGTCCAAGGTCTGTGGTTGACACCCTCCTGGGAGGTACCCACCTCCAGAGGAGCCCAGGAGAAGACTTGCCTTTCCAGGGGGATCTGGGAAGTTATTTTGTCTTTTGTTTTCAGTGTCTACACCTCTCCTTCTCCCTGTGTTAAGGAAAACGGACGCTTCCTGTGCTAAAGACTTGCTTGTGCGCCTCTTAGGGCTGGAAAAGAGCCTGATTTCTTCATGCTGCTTAGGGAAATATTTCCAGCTGAGTTGGAAATATTTTTTCATCACAGTCTGCAGGTCAGGGAACTACAGGGTAGACTCAAGGTACTTCTTGGGTTCAATTTATTTATGTTTCCTTTCTGCAAACTCCTTCCAACTTTTGGAAGTTGGTTTATCTCACGGGAAGTACTAAATGGGGTGAAATCCGTAAGGAAGCTAAAAGCAGACGCCATGTTGTCTGGCAGGGGGGTGGTGGCCCTTCTTCACTCTGAGTTACAGCTGCAAGCACCACGCAGGGCTTGTCGAAGGGGGTGACCGCTGGCAGCGAACGTGCCCCCCGCCGGAGCGTGGAGACATCTCTAGTGGCAGAGATGGGTTTGCAGATGCTGCCAAGAGGGGTGGGAGAGAGACCACTGAATCCAGGGGGCTCAGCAATTATGGACAAGTAACTTGCTCCTGCACTGATGCCTTCTTAACTAAGTTCTCATGCCAGCAAGGGAGGTGTGCAGCCCCCCACGGGGAAGCACTAAAATTAGCCTTTCCTTGTTTTATTATCAGTGCTGTTACAGACTCGGGCTGGAGTGGGTGTAAGGGGAAGATGAGTGGTTGTGGGGAAAAGCTTCATCCTGACGCTTCATGCTCAACGGGAGGGGTTTTTCTGGGGGAGATGATTGACCAGATCATGTGTGTGGCGACATGGGACACCCAGTGCCGTGACGTAGAAAAGGGCACAAGGCGAAGTTGCAACACATTTTCTTCCACTGGAGTGAAAAACGCTTCCTCCCTTTCTAAGTTGAAATGGAGAGGAAGGAAAACGGGATTGTTCTCAGCAGTCTGCTGTCCTGCATGCCCGACATGTTTCACCTTTGCTGCTGACTGCTTTTTAGAGACTGATTCGTCCTATCTAAGAATAAAACGGGGATTTACGTGCTGCTGCAAGCTCTGATTTTTTCCTTTCGGAGGAACTATCATTATTCAGATGATCTGCTCCTCTCAGCTGATTTTTCCTAGAAAAGCGGAATTGGCTGATGTAACCCGGCCTTACCCGTTCATCTTTTTCCATGTGGCACTCAAGGGCTCCAGCTCTTTTCTACTTTGAAAAGTGTTGGTGAATGCTCCTCGCGTGCGTTACCCGAGGTAGAGCAAGTCGGGCTCCAAACCGAAAGGCAACACTTCAGTTGCTTTTTTCCCCCTATATTGGAGCAAGGCTGTACCAGGGCTGTAAGAGCTGCACTGAGGCTTCATCTCCTGTGGCTTCTACAGATGGGGAAGCCCACATCCCAAGCAGCTGATGTGCCTCAGGTCCTCGTGATAAATGCACGAGGAATATGAACCTTCTCCAAACTCTTCTTTGAGAAGACTCTTCCTTTGGCCTCCACAGCCCATGAGCAGGTCTCCTCTGTCCTTGTGTTGCCTGCAACTCCTCTGCCAGAAAAACTGCCCAATTTTTGCCAACTTTCGTGCTGCAGCTTCCCCGTCTCCTGTTCTTGGACACGGAGCTTGTGTTCTCCCAGTCCTGTTCCCGTGTTGGAGCTGCTGCCCTCAGACCTTCTCTGTAGGGAGAGGAGAGGGGCTTCCCCATTGCACATTAACTGCCAGCCACAGGTACCCCGGATGGGACTTTGAAATGCTGTTGTCTGTAGTAATTGTCTTGCAGTAATTAAGATATCCATAAATAACCTTTCTCCCTCAATGTTAACACCAAGGTGTGAGACATACATAGTGGGGCTCGCTCAACACCTGAAGGAAAAACTGGGCCATCTGCATGGAGACAAAGGACAGGTGACAGGAACCAGCTGAGACACAAGAATATTTATTTAGAAGCTTTTATTGATATATTAGTGTTCTCCCTCCTGTGGGTAAAAAGGAGAAGAGGCAAACCTGACCTGTTCAGCATCTGCACACAAAGCTCTTGCACCACGAGGGAAATTGCGTGAAACATGAAGGAAGAAGCCCTTGGTGGAGAACACAGACTCATGGTGACAGAATGACAGTGTTCGGAGTGAGCTGCAGAGGAGAGAGGAAAACGTTCTCTCAACGTAGTCATTGCAGGTCACTCCTGGAGAAATTGTGTTTTCTACTTGGGCAAGAGCCTTAAAAATCTGCAGTTGTGCATGTTTTGGTGGACTTGTGGCTTCTGCCAGTGAGAGGGGGCATAATCGAGGTGATGGCTCAGCTGCAGAGGCTGCCTCATTCAGACAGGACAGTCATTCTTCCTTTTGGGCAGCTGGTTGTGTGGGAGAGGGAAGGGCCATGACTGATGCCACGCGTGGACCTCGGGGTGGAGGAGGAAGATGTGGAGCACATGCTGGGACGTCATAAATAGTCACCCATGGGTGGTGCCTCCAGGACAGGGCTCATCCGAGGGGTGGACGCCGCTGGCTCTACGTGGCATCACTCCCAGGTAAGCAGGGAAGATGGTAGGATGGGTTCCATGGGCTTTGCTTGAATCCCCTTGCTTTTGGCCATGGAGATGTGCTGGCAGGAAGGGAGTCTGTCTTTCCAGTGTCCCAGCAGAGGCTGGTTCAGCTGTGCTTCTGCTTTACCTCCCCTTACAGAGGGGTTTGTCTGGCTGTATTGGCCAAGGCAGAAGAAACCAGCTCATGCTAACTTGCTTCTTGCTGAAGGGGAGCACTGGGGGGACAGCAAGCTGTGGAGAGCTTCCTTGGGGAAGGAGACCCCCCCTGCCTTCCCCAGGGCAGTGGTGGAGGAGAAGGAGAGTCCTTGGGGAGGTTAAGGGGAGACTTGCTGAAGATCACAAAAGCATCTGACTGGTGAGAGCAGCCCACGCTGTGAGCTCCAGAGTAGCAAGAGCTATACTGGAAGGTCCTCCAAAGTGGGGAGGTAGGACTCGGTGCTGGATGCTCATGGCTCTGGGAGGGCAGCCACGCACAATCCCTGGACTGCAGGTGGGACCTCAGTGAGGGCAAGAGGCCCTACATTCGCTATAACCAAGGCAGGGAGAATAGAAAGCAGAGGGGAGGTGAAGCTCCAGGATGGATGGAGCTGGTGGTCCACCTTGGGCTTCTTGGCTTGAGTCCTCTCCACGCAGCAAGGTTTTGCAGCCCTGGTCTTCCGCATTCAAACCCTCCCTGGCCACAGTAGCCTGGTGGGGCTGGGAGGCTATCAGCAGGTCGCAGGGATGCAAAGCCCCGTTGGGCTGGTGGCCCCTGTCCCCTCGGGCCGTTCCGGGGCTGGAGCTGCTCCTCCCCAGCGCTGTATGCAATGGGGGCTGAGGCAGCTCTTCCCACGGAAAGAACCACGTGGCACCTCCCAGCTTCTGCTTCTGCAAAGCCAGAACAGAGCCAGCCCAAAATAAACTAGCCAGCGCCAGAAGCAGCTCGATTCAGGGAGCTTCTGCAAAATGGGCTGCAAGCCACTGGGAAAGGGGAAAATGCACAAAAACACCCCGAAGCAAAAATGAAGGCAGGGTAGAAGGAAGCTGGGACTCCGGGACAACAGCAAGCCAAGCTGTTTCCAGTGGTCCCACAGCAACCAATGGACATCCCCCTTCTTGCAGACCCAGGAGAAGGATGGCTCCAGGATATCACCTGGAGATGGGTAAGCACTTTTTAGGTGAACTGATAGTTTAATAAGATACCAGCAGAGCTGGATGGCTTGCCCAAGGATAGGCAAGAACCTTTTCTTAATTAACTTTAGTTAGTCATTGGCATATTCAGACCTACGGTAGGACTGGTGGCACGATGGGGATGGAGCTGCTCTGGGAATTGACTGGAGATTGATGGGGTTTCACAAGTCCTTGTCCAATGGTTTCACCCCTTTCCTGGCTCCCTCCTGCTCATTGTGAGCTCTCAAAGTCCCAGCGAGTGGTGGTGGTCGGTCTCCTTCCTGCAGTGACATTGTGGAGGAGCCAGCGCTGCGGGTGGCAGAGGTTTCAAGGCTCCGTGCAGGACCTGCCGTTGTCTTAAATCCCCTTCCCTGTTTGGCAAAGAAATAGCAGCAAGTCTGAAGCTGGGCTTCTCCTTCTGTGATAAAATAAGAAGCTGGCGAATCATTGCGTAGACAAGTGTACTCTTCACTGGGTAAAAAACTGGCTGGATGGCTGTGCCCAGAGAGTTGTGATTAATGGGGCGAAATCTTGTTGGTGGCCGTTCACCAGTGGTATCCCTCAGGGCTCAGTTTTGGGTCCAGTCTTGTTTGATATCTTTAATGATTATCTGGGTAAGGGGGTTGAGTGCACCCTCAGTAAGTTTGCAGATGACACCAAACTAGGTGGGAGTGTTGATCTGCTTGAGGGTCGGAAGGCTCTACAGAGGGACCTGGACAGGTTGGATCAATGGTCCAAGGCCAATGGGATGAGGTTCAACAAGGCCAAGTGCTGGGTCCTGCATTTTGGTCACAACAACCCCGGGCAACGCTGCAGGCTGGGGGCAGGGTGGCTGGAGCTGCCCAGCAGAAAAGGACCTGGGGGTGTTGGTGGACAGCCGGCTGAACAGGAGCCAGCAGTGTGCCCAGGTGGCCAAGAAGGCCAACAGCATGGTCTGTGTCAGGACAGGGTGGCCAGCAGGAGCAGGGCAGTGATGGTGCCTCTGGACTGGGCATTGGTGAGGCCTCACCTCAAGGGCTGTGCCCAGTTTTGGGTTCCTCACCACAAGAAGGACATTGAGGGGCTGGAGCATGTCCAGAGGAGAGCCACCAAGCTGGGGAGGGGTCTGGAGAACAAGTCACACGAGGAGAGGCTGAGGGAACTGGGCATGTTTAGTTTGGAGAAGAGGAGGCCGAGGGGAGATCTCATTGCCCTCTGCAACTACATGACAGGAGAGTGTAGAGAGGTGGGGGTTGGCCTCTTCTCCCAAGGGAATAATGACAGGAGCAGAGGAAATGGTCTGATGTTGGGGCAGGAGAGGTTTAGATTAGATATTGGGAAGAATTACTTTCCTGAGAGGGTGGTCAGGCACGGGAACAGCCTGCCCAGGGAGGTGGTGGAGTCACCATCCCTGGAGGGATTTAAGAAACATGTAGATGTGGCTCTTCAGGGCATGCTCTAGTGCCCGAGATTGTTGGGTTGGGTGTTTTTTTGTGTGTGTGTATGGTTGGACTTGATGATCTCAAAGGTCCCTTCCAACCATGAAGATTCTGTGATTCTGGTATTAACACTGAATGTATTTTTAATATTTACTTGATTAGATGGTGTGGGGAAAATAGGATTTTCATTGGAAATTGGTCTCGAGTAAGGGTGGTGCCAGTGGGAGAGGCCGGGACCCAGAAGAACAAACCAGCGAACTCCCATCCACCCGTGGCTGTGAGATGGGCTTGGGGTGGGGCAGCCGTGGGGCGCCATGGGTCAAAGGCAGCACCTTCCTCTCCTCCTCTTCCTCCCCGTCCCCCTGCAGGGTGGCCATGTGCGTGGGGAAGTGCAGCCGCATCGTGGGTCCCTGCCTGCTGGCGTTGGGCACACTCTCAGTGGCAGCCAACATCCTCCTGCTCTTCCCTGGTGGGACATCCAAGTACCTGCTGGAGGGGCACATCAGCAAACATGCCAAGGTCGTGCCAGGTGTCTGGGGAGGCGGCTTCCCCGTGAGTACCAAGTCCTTCCTGGCCTGTCTGTGGAGCAGGGACAAAGGGATGGAGCAGGTTGGCTCCCTTTTGTCCCTCAGCTGCTTTTCCCTTCCCGCAGGTGCTGCTGGCAGCGGCCCACACCACGGCGGTGGGGTGGCGATGCGCTGGCTGCTCCAACTGCGGCACCCGTCACAACGTAAGGCAGCGCCGGGACCCCCGTGCCAAAGCAGTCCCGAGCGATGGGTGGTGGGATGTGGCAGGTGGCCCTAGGGTGGGACATGGCAGGTTACCACCTCTCCCATGGTCCTGTGGTGGGACATGGCATAGAGCCTCCCCTGTCATGGCCTCATGGTGGGATGTGTTGGGTGTCCCCTCTCCTGTGGTGGGTTGTGGCAGGGTATCATCTCTCCCATGTTGGGTCATGGCAGAGTGCCACCACTCCCATGGCCATGTGGTGGGATGTGGCATGGATCCCCGTCTCCTGTGGCCCCGTGGTGGGAGGCTGCAAAGTGCCACCTCCCTGGAGGACAGCTCATGTGTGCTGCATGCGCTCTGCCCCACCAGGCTCTGTTTGGCAGCTCCCTGCCTGTCCCCGCTCCTTGCCCACTTCTACCCAGCTCGAAACAACCCAGCAATGGCTCCATCCTCAGCCTCAGCTCCCTGGGGTGGGACCCCCTTGGGGTGAAGGGGAGGGGAGTCCTTCCCCCTTGCTGCACTCCGTCGAGAACATGTTTTGGAGCCCACTTGATGTTCAGTCCCTCCCCGGGTGTTGCCCACAGGCTTTCATCTCTGCTGTGCTCTCCAAGCTGGCACTCCTGGGTGCCACCGCCTGCTTCGTCCTCTCTGGGGTGGGTTTGACCAACGGACCCCTCTGCTTCTACAACACCTCTGAGCATGGCACCCTCTGGGATTACCCCTTCCTGGATGCTGGTTGCCAGGAGCCTGATGCCAGGTGAGGCAGTGAGGTTGAGTCACTAGTGCCACCTCGTTGGCTTAGTACTAATTAAGTTGGCATTTTTTATGGTGGGTGGGGTTGGTGGGCTTGCTGGTGGTGATGGAAAATTCCAGTAGCTCCTGAGGTCCTCACCTTCCACGGCTTTCTATGTGGTGCTTCCTATTCCCATCAACCCAGCTGGCCCTGCTCATCCTCGGGATGAAGGACAGGGTGTCTGGAGCACACCCCCATGGAGGAAAGCCATGCCTGACCCGCCGCAGGGCAGCATTTTGCATCTCCTCCTCTCTCCATCATGCAGGACAGAGAACTACCTCTATGGTTGTCACACCTGGAGCATCTGCCTGGAGCCGGCAGGCGTTGTGACCTGGAACGTCGTCCTCTTCTCCCTCCTGCTGCTCGTCAGCGCCGCCGAGATGGTGCTGGCCTCCCTCCAGATCCTCAACGGCTGCCTCGGGTGCCTCTGTGGCTTTTGCGAGGGGAAGTAGAGACCTGCCATGGTGCCAGGAGGCTGGCACTTGGAGGAGGCATCATCCTCAGGTGTCCCTTGGCTGGTGGCAAATGCCATCATGGGGATAGGGCACAAGCTGTGACACCAGCCCAGTGCAAGACAGGTTCCCCCATGGGGGAGAGACACCCCAGCCTGCACGAGACGCGGAAGCCACATGCGTGGGGTCACACAAAGGCCTCCGGGCAGAGTCCTTGGCTTGGGTGATATCGCTTCCTCCACCCTGGAGCGGATGCCCTTGGGCCTGGCAGCCTTTTGGGGTTGGAAACCAGTCTGGTGAGTGATGGAGGTGGGGACCTGGCTCCTGGCATTCCAGCACTGAGCCCAACGGCTTTCCTGGCTGCTCCCCATTAGCCTTCCCCCGTGCAAAATGTGACTTGGTGATATTTGTAGAGCTAAGACCTTGAACATTAACTTATTCGCATTAATCAATCTGTGTTTAGGGCAGCTTGTGTTGGTGTTTGTCTTCCACCTGGGGCAGGAGGGACAAAGGAGACTGGAGGAGCCAAGCTGGGCTCTGGCTGGGGGACTCGGATGGAGTTGTGCTGGAAATGAGGTGTAGCCCCCCAAAATTCACCCGTATGCATGCACAAACGGGCAGCAGAGGTTAGGAGCAGCCGCTCATCCCCACTGGTCCAGGACCCGCCGCTGCACTCACAGGGGGTGATATCGGCTTCAGCAGGTCCCCTGATCCCACGACCTCATCCCCATGACCTTTACAGGGACCGAGTGGGCACCGACCTGAACCTGCCTGTGGTACCAGGACCTTTACCCTAAAACCTGAAAAGGTGATGAGGAAAGCAGCAATGTCCACAATAGATTAAAAAAAAGGCAATCAGCCAGATCAAACAGTAACTTTGGAAAGATCATTGAGAAATAGAGGGAGTGTCTTGAACAGGATCATTAAAAAAGGAGCAATTAAAGAAGGAAGAAGCCGGTCGGAGCAGGGTGGCAGTACCAGGTACGGCACAGCTGGAGCATCGTGTCCCCCGGCGCTGCCCCCGGCTGCCTTCTCTCCTGCAGTGCTGCTGGGGGCTCCCCTTACGTATTTCATGGGGGGGTGTGTGGGAAAGGAGCTGGGGGGGGAAGCTGGTGGCACAAGCCATATAATTACAAAATAGCAATTAAAAAAAAGAGAGATGAAGCCCAGTTTTGAGATGGTGGTGCATGCCTCCTGGGTGCTGTGGCCATGCTGGCCTGGGGCAGGACCCCAGGCTGTGGCGTCCCAGCGTGCCAGGCTCCAGGGTGGTGCCCTGGGGTCCGGCACTGGGTGATTGGGGGGAACCAACCTGGGGGGTGGGGAGCACTAGGAGATGAAGCAGCTCCTTCGCCCCCGCTTTCTGGGGCGCAGGGGACCGCCATCCCGCTGGGACACAGTGGCTGTCAGGGGGATGTTCTGGAGCACGTCGTGCAGCGTGAACATGCTGAAGGAGATCTGCTCGTAGGGCGACCGGGTCCCGTTCTCGTAGAGGCAAGCAAACGCGATGGCTGGGCCACCAGTGATGGAGTCCTCATTGTAGGGCAGCTCCATGTAAGCCAGGTCTGAGTAAGCACTTGGGCCCTCATAGATGACCCATGGCTCAGTCCAGCTCTCCACATCCCTGGGGAAGGTGCTCAGGTGAACCCCCATGTTGACCCGTGACATGGAGCTGGTGGGGTGGGAGTAGAGGACCCAGGTTGGCGCTTGGAAGAAGGGAACGGGATTAGAGGTTGACATGGGGTCCCCTGGGCCCAAGGTGACACGGCCGGCATGGCTGGGATGCCCTGGGGTAAGAGAGACCTCCTTGGGCTCAGCTGGCTCGTGGTGGCCGCTGGTGGCCACTATGGGCAGCTCCTCCCCAGCTGTCTGCTGCGTGGGCAAGGACCGCAGCCCCGGGAGCATCCGAGGAAGCAGCCGGGGAGCTGAGCCCTGGTGGCGCATCACAGGGTCCCGGGGGGCAGCGGGGACGTACACGAAAGGTGCGGGGAAGCCAATGACGCTGCCGTGACAGCCATGGGGGGGCTCGACCAGCCGCTGGACCAGCTGCCCCCCATGGAAGACAGCCCCATCATCCGTGCTCAGCGCCTGGACCCTGAAGCCCAAGGGGCTGCGGGCGTTGCAGTAGAGGACGTTGGAGCCGTCCTCCTCGTCCACCGAGACCAGCTGGCACTCGCCTGTCTGCAGGTTGGGAATGAACTCCCCGAAGCGCCAGCCACGGCCGTGGTCGTCACTGTAGAAGGCGAAGGAGTGAGGGGTGGTCTTGCAGAGCTGCCCGAAGCACTCCTTGCAGTCGATGTGGTAGCTGTAGGCGGGCACCAGCAGCCGGCCGGACCGCAGCTGGATGCCGTGCCCAGGGCCCAACGCGAACGTTGCCCAGTCTGGGGAGCAAAGATGGGATGGGGGTGAAGAGTGGCCTTTGTGGTACCCCTCTTGTGCCCACCCTACATGGGAGGGTCTCCAGAGCATTCCCCAGCCTAGCCAAGCAAGGTGGCAGGGCAGGAGGGCAGCAGAGCCCAGTGCCTCCTGGTTGTCCTCACACATGGTCCCACCCGTAGCTACTGGGCCTCTCCCCCGGCAAGTGAGACAAATACTCTCTCCACACCTCACCCCCCCCTCCCCCGCTGGAGGTCCTCTTCCACCTCATCGATTTGATGCTCGGGGGCTTTCTACCCACTATGTCACCTCCAACCACACTATGGATGGCTCTAGGAGGCCAAAACCCAAGTGTGACCCGCCTCCTGGCTGTCCTCCCTGCTCCGCGCCCCTCTCTGGTGGGCTACCTTTGATGGCCCCGCCAATGACCTGCTGTGTCAGGTCTGTGGCCGTGCTCCAGCTCAGGCCCTGGTCAATGCTGGTGACGCAGCAGAGGCGGGTGACGTTTTGGCCTGTCACAATCTGGTAGGCTTCAGGCGTCCTGCCCAGCACCGTGATGAAGAAAAGGAAGAGGGTGCCGGTGAACTGGTCGTAGAGCGGGCAGGGGTTCATCGACCGGTGGTGCTGCAGCGTCGCCGTCTCCAGCACACGCATGTCTTCCCACTGCCCCGGGGTGGGGGGAGGACAGGGTGAGGACCCCCCCTCTTCATCCACCCCACTGCGCAGGTGCCTCCAGGAGCACGGCTGCGCCATGCACAAGCGGTGGAGGACAACTACCTGGCTTGGCTGTACCAACCCTGCGTGCATCCCCCCCGGCCCCATCCCACCTCCACGTAGCTCCCGTAGACGGTGCCACGGCGCAGCACCAGGAGGTTGGCGTGGGCATCATCAGCGCTCAGCCGCTCCTCCGCGAAAGCCAGCAGCTTGGCCACGCAGGGCAGGTAGAGCAGGGCGGGCACACGGTAGGTGACACCGTTGGACTCCTTCTCGAAAAGCACGGTCCGGGCGGGAAAGTGCCGGGAGCCCATGGCATCTGCAGCAGGAAGATGCAGCCCTGCCATGGGGGGGTTGGTGCAGGGGGAGGACCAGGAGATGGGCTGCCCTTGGGGGGGGTTGGATTTTAACGTGGTGGGCTTGGGTTTGAGGAACCCCCCCTGCAAGGAGCACAGGTCACTACAGCCAGGGTTGGGGTTGAGAGGTGTGACAAGTCACCACAGCTCAAAGGTGGGACTGGATTTTGGGCAAGACCAAAAAAGCTGACCTTTCAGGGCTACCCCAAAATAAAACTAATTAAAATTAAAATGACCTTCAAGTTGCCCTTCAAAAGGGGTTTCTGGTAAATCAAGGGCAAAGGGCAGGTTGAGACCTCAGGTTCCCTGCTCCCATCACCAAGTGGGTGTTGGGGGGGTGCAGAGCCCATCTCTGCAAGGACGAGACCCTGGGACCAGCCCAGGGTCCTCCAAGGGGGGTCAGGGAGTGTTTTGTCCTGTGGTTCTGGTGCCTCCAGCGCAGCAGACCCAGCCGGCTCCTCGTTTCCCCCCACCCTGTGGGAAAAGCTGGGGTGCACAGGAGGAACAGCGGGGTCCCCAGCCGGGCTGTCCCCGTGGAACAGGGCATGAGCTGTTCCCGAGCGCCTGTCCTTTGGGAACAGCAGGACTGTCCCCAAGCTACATGTCCCCAGCGTATCACCACGGGAGGAGGCGGGCACCCCACTGCAGTGGCCAAGGGCAACTTTCACCTGTGTTTTAATTAGGAGCTTTTGCTGATCGAACACCCCACGGAGAAAGCAAAGGCACTCACTCACCGGGTCGTGCTCAGCTGGGGTGTCCCCGCCGTCCCTCGCCCCCACCACAGGGGACCGTCGGCTCCTGCAGCTGCCGGCTTCCTGCAGAGCCTGTCGCCTTGCTGCTACCACCCCCCCAAAAAAGGGTCCCCCCACCGATGGGTCACGGGGCTCCCACAGTGGCCAGAAAAAAGCCCTGAGTCAGCAGTGCTGGGCAGCACAAAGGCACCATTCTCAGCCCGGGCAGAGCCAGGGGCCCCGTGGCTGCCAAGCTGCCTTCTCTGACCCCCCCGGGGGGGGGCAAAGGGAGCTGGGGAGGGGGGTGGGTGGTGTTTCCATCTCCTGCCTCTGTTTCCCTCCTCCCACAGACTGGGAAAGGCCAGACATCCCTGCCCAGGAGCTGCAGCCCGCATTCACTGTGGTCCACCCTGGCCATGAGCTCCCCAGCCTGCGGACCGTGGTCTGGAGGGTCCCAGCCTTCCCAGGACCCTCCCCCCCACCCCCCCTTCCACCCAGGTCAGCTGTTAAGAAATTGCTTTTTATGCCGTTGCTTTTTATTCCATTCCTGTCATCAACTTTGCTGAAGGGGCTTGAGAGGCTGGTGCTGGTCTCTTCTCACAGGTAATTAACGACAGAACAAGAGGGAACGGCTTCAAGCTCCAACAGGGTAGGTTTAGACTGAACATTAGGAAGGAATTTTTCACCGAAAGAGTGGTCGGGCGTTGGAACAGGCTGCCCAGGGAGGGGGTGGAGTCACCATCCCTGGATGTGTTTAAGGGACGTTTAGATGCAGTGCTGAGGGACATGGTGTAGGGGAGGACTTTGTAGAGTAGGGGAGATGGTTGGACTCGATGATCCCAAGGGTCTCTTCCAACCTGAATGATTCTATGATTCTATGACAAAATTCATCCAGCAAGTCCCGGACTGAAGCTCCAAGGTGAAAGCCCAGGCTCCGGCTGCAGAATTGGCCAGGAAAGGCCCCCGGGACTTGCCCAGCCTGAACACGCGCGGCCGCCATCTCCTCCGCCCCGGCTCCTCACAAACGCCTCCTGAGCCCGGTTAATTTTAGCCAGGGTCGGCAGAGCAGAAAACCCTGAGGGTGCTGTTGATCTCCTGGTCGCTCCTGTTGTCCAACACACGGGTCTCCTCTCAGTTGCGCCACGGGAGGTTAACCCTTGCCTCAGCTTTAAACACAGCCCAGGGAAACCCCAGCTCTGCTGCCCTCTGACAGCGTCTCTCCTGGGCCAGGACACTGCCGGGCTGTGTCACTTCCCCAGGGGGAAGCTGCAAGCCAAGCAACCAAGGGACCTCTGGAGATCACCCAGTCCAACCCCCTGCCAGAGCAGGGCCACCCAGAGCAGGTCCCACAGGAATGTGTCCAGGCGGGTTTGAATGTCTCCAGAGAAGGAGACTCCACCACCTCCCTGGGCAGCCTCTGCCAGGGCTCTGCCACCATCACAGCAAAGAAGTTCTTCCTCATGTCCAGGTGGAACTTCTTATGTTCAAGTTTGTGCCCATTTCCTCTTGTCCTGTCACTGGGTACCACCAAGAAAAGACCAGCCCCATCCTCCTGACACCCACCCTTTAAGTATTTATAAGCATTGATCAGATCCCCCCCTCAGCCTTCTCTTCTCCAGACTAAAAAGACCCAAGTCCCTCAGCCTTTCCTCAGCAGAGAGATGCTCCAGGCCCCTCAGCATCTCTGTAGCCCTCTGCTGTCCCCTCTCCAGCAGTTCCCTGTCCTTCTGCAACTGGGGAGCCCAGAACTGGACCCAGTGCTCCAGATGGGGCCTCCCCAGGGCAGAGCAGAGGGGCAGGATGACCTCCCTCCACCTGCTGCTCACACTCTTCCTGATGCCCCCCAGGATGCCATTGGCCTTCTTGGCCACAAGGGCCCATTGCTGGCTCATGGCCATCCTGTTGTCCACCAGGACTCCCAGGTCTTTCTCCTCAGAGCTGCTCTCCAGCAGGTCAGCCCCCAACCTGTCCTGGTGCAGGGGGTTATTCCTCCCCAGGGGCAGCACCCTCCACTTGCCCTTGTTAAATTTAATCAGTTTTCTCTCTGCCCAACTCTCCAGCCTGTCCAGGTCTTGCTGGATGGCGGCACAGCCTTCTGGGGCGTCAGCCACTCCTCCTAGTTTTGTGTCATCAGCAAACTTGCTGAGGGTACCTCCCATCCTTTTGTCCAGGTCATGGATGAATATATTGAAGAGGACTGGACCCAGTACTGACCCCTGGGGAACAGCACTTGTTACAGACCTCCAGCTGGATTCTGTGCCACTTATCACAACCCTCTGAGCTCTTTCAGCCAGTTTTCAATCCACTTAACTGTCCATTCATCTAACCCACACTTCCTAATCTTAGCTATGAGGATGCTGTGGGAGATGGTGTCAAAAGCCTTGCTGAAGTCAAGGTAGACAACATCCACCACCCTCCTTTCATCTATCCAACCAGTCATGCCATCATAGAAGGCTATCAGGTTAGTCTGACATGACTTCCCCTTGGTAAATCCATGTTGACTACTTCTGATTGATAGCTTTCTTTTCCTCCATATGCTCTGAGATGACACCCAGGTTGAGGCGTTCCATCAGCTTTTCAGGGATGGAGGTGAGGAAGAGTCTGGCCAACACAGTGAGAGGGGGGGCCCAACACAGCCTCTGCTGATAATCACAGAATCAGAATCACAGAATCAGAATCACAGAATCACAGATGCTGCTGGGTGGGAGACCCAACATCTCTCCCACTCTATTCCTACCTTGTTTCCCTCCCCCTCCCCTTTTTTCCCTCCTCAAACACTGAAAATCAGGACTTGCTCTAGTGAGCCGTGCTCAGGCTGGATGTTAAGGACAGCTATTAATTAAAGTTGAATGCAAAAAAAAAAAATAATTAAGCCCGTGATTAATGATTAAGAGGCAGCTGGAAGCCTGCCCAGTGCTCCGCAGCGGGGGCTGTCCCCCTGCCTGGCAGCAGGGAGGAGACATCATGCAGGATCCGGATAATGCCAGAGCCTTTGGCTCAAGGTCCCCAAAAAGGGACCCACCACCAGCTTGGTGGACCCCAACCCCTCATCTGCAAGAGTCCTGTGGGCCAGCCACGTGCCACACATGGGGTGACGCAAAGCAGTGGGAAATCTCAGTGGGAAACCCCAGTGGGTTTTCGCGTGCTGGAGTTGACAGTTGGGAGGTGCATCTTCTCCTGGGAACTGATCCAGGGCAAGGGCAAGTCTAATGGCTTCCTCTTCTTGTGTGGGTGCTGAACAGCATAAAGATAGGACGTGTACTGGAGCTCTGGCACAACCATTTTCTCGCAGGTTCTCAGAGTCCTGTTGTCCAAGTTTTGTTTGAGGTTGTACCCAAGGATATTTGCAGCCCCCGACTGGAAAGGCAGGAGAGCTTTGCTGTTGATGTGATCCTTCCCCACCGCCTCCTGGTCTGAGAGACAGGTCTCCATGAGCTCCTTCTGTCTTGTTCGCAGGTGATTCACCTCCTTCTCCAGCTCCTTGAGTCCTACAGTCTCCTCAATTCTCCTCCAGAAGCTCTGGTTGAAGTGCAGGTAGAGCTCCCAGTCCAGTGAGCACCACGTTTTTATCCGCTCCTTGCTTTCTGGAGTCAAGGTCTGGACAGTGTCCTGGCTTCTGGAATTGAGCTTAAAGTAAATCACATCATCCAGATCCCAGCACAAAGTGTGCTTCAAGAGGATCATGGACTCATCAAAGTAGTCTGCTATCAAGATCAGGTGGAAGTTCTGTTCAATCTCCCTCAAGACTGTCTGGACATACTTTTTGTTGTTCTCTGCATTGTTATCGTAGCCAAAGTCAAACCACATGATATTCCGGGCATAGATATTTTGCTCGTGATTTGCCGGGTGGTAATACTTCATGGGTGATGCCAGGTACTCATTCACGTCCTTGGAGATCCTGAAGGCAGGGGCATAATCCTTGTAGTAAACGTAGGAAGACTCCAACAAATGAATGGGGTTCCTCAGGATGGAGAAGTAGAAGGTGTTTGCTGCCATCACCTTTCGCACCTATTTGTGGGGAGGAAGAAGAGAGGCTGTTAGTCCGGAGGCATTGCTTGTTCACCCAGGTTTCTCCACAGGTGTCGTGGCTCTTTCTTACCTCCGAGGGGTTAAACCGCAGGTGGTTGCACATGATGTTGTAGTTTTGTCCTATGGATTGAAATTCCTCCACAAAGCTGGCCTGGAAGGTCTGTGGGTAGCCCAGGTGGACGAGCTCATTGGCTGGAAGGGCAACGGTGAGGTTGTACTTCTCTGCGAACCTGAACATGATGTTCAGGATGGTGCTGCTGGCAGTTTTGTGGGTCTTGAGGAACATGACATTAGTCTTGGCATGGCAAGGCAGCAGCTCCTCATGGCTCTTCGAAATTCTGTAGGAAGGCAAAAGATGAGGGAAACGGCCTCTCCA